TCATCCGTATGCAATTTTGAGTGTCAGGCTCGCAGCTGTCAGACGCAGCTGAAAACAGGAAACAACAGCCCTTATCCTCAGGAAAGAAAGCCTGGAAACTTTGGCTTTGTGTTTCAGTTGTTGGGCCAGGTTGGGCACTCCATGAGCAGCAAGAGCTTTCTATGCTGGCGCCTTTGGTCTGGGAGGAATCTTTGTTTGTATGTAATTTTTGGAGTAGGGCTGTGTAGTAGTTTGAACTAAGTTTTCCCCCTGAAGCTAAGAAAAAGTGGTAACCCCCAAGGGGTGGTAACCCCTGGAAGTTTTGAAGTTTTGTCCAATGGGCTCTCCTGCAAAATATAAACATACCACAAGCAAACGGAAGAGAAGAGTTATAGTTTGGTTGTTGTAGGAGAGGTGGCCATGTTGTGAGCCACGAGGAAGGGGCTCAGAGCCCCACAAGGTGGCTTGGCCCCCAGCCCCCAGTGGGGGCCTGCGGGGACCTGGAACAGCATAAATGTGAGTGAGCAGAGACAGCAGCAGCAGAAGCAGCGTCCAGAGACCCTGGCTAAGAGCCAGGACAGATAAGAACTGAACCAAACAGCAAACGGCATGTACAGCAGAGAGGACTCCTGGAAGGAGAGTCGAGAAAAAGAGAGTCAGTAGCAGAGAGACAGAGTTTTTGGGGGTAAGAACTGAACCAGATCCCCCCCAAACTCCTTTGAGACCTCCAAGAAAGGAGGAAGATGATGGACTCTTACTCGAAAGAGCCTTGGAGTGCTACAGCACTTGCAGAGAGAGGAGCTAAGAAGCTCCATTGTCCTGAGAGCTTAGCCAGGACAGTGGGTGGGAGGTTGACCTTGGAGCACTCCCTTGCTGCAAGCTACAAAGAAGCTCGCAGCCAGCCTGAGGCAGGGCACAGAGGCCCTGCAAGGAGCTTGAATCTCCTGAAGATACCAGACTGTCACGAAGACCTCCCTGCGTCTCGTGATATGACCGTGGTGGAACGACCTTGTCTGGGGTGACGTAGCCCACGGAGGAAGACCCTCGTTGAAGACGGGTGGCCAAGGGGGATACCCCCTCATGAGTGCTGGCAGAAATCCAGCTATCAGTTGCTGCATGCATGTGAAGAGGACAGATTGCTGCTGTAGAGGATACTCCTGCTTAGAGACTGGAAGGGCTCTGTCCTTCTTCCCTCCTGGACTTTTATTTGGAGGGGAGAAGAGATCTGGTCCATTGTAAATACTATATGTCATGGCAGAGATATTGTGATCGTGTGTATAATGTGATATGGTATTTATCTGTACAGTCATTGTAATATATTCCCTTTCCCCTATTTGGAGTCTGGTGTGTTTTGTCTGGAAAAAAAACCATCTCACATTAGATTGAGATGTGACAGGGGGCTAGGACTAGGGAATTGGATTTTGGGGCTATCTCAAACCATGACAGGCTGATAGATGGGAGGAAGGGCTGAAAACAGGAAAAAACAGCCCTTATCACCAGGAAAGAAAGCCTGGAAGCTTTAGCTTTCTGTGGCAGTTGGTGGGCCAGGTTTCTCAATCCATGGGCAGCAAGAGCTTTCTGTGCTGGCGCCTTTGGTGTTGGAGGAATCTTTGTTTGTATGCAATTTTGGGAGTTGGGATGGCAGTTGGGAGGCAGGGCTGAAAACAAGAAACAACAGCCCTTATCCCCAGGAAAGAAATCCTGGAAGCTTTGGCTTTGTGGTGCAGTTGGCGTGTCAGCCTGGGCACTCCATGGGCAGCAAGAGCTTTCTGTGCTGGCACCTTTTGCGTGGAAGGAACCTTCGTCCGTATGCAATTTTGGAGTCGGGCTGGCAGTTGCCAGACACAGCTGAAAACAGGAAACAGTAGCCCTTATTCCCAGGAAAGAAAGACTGGAAGCTAACCCTAACCCTAACCCGTAACCCTAACCCCAACCCGTAACCCTAACCCCTAACTCTAACCCTAACCCTAAAAGCTAACCCTAACCATAACCCTAAACCCTAATCCCAACCCTAAACCCTAATCATAACCCTACCCCTAAACACTAACCCTAACTCTAACCCTTGCTAACCCTAACTGTAACATTAACCCTAAACCCTAATCCTACACCCTAAACCTAATCCTAACACTAAGCCCTAATCCAAACCCTAAACCCTAACCCTAACCACTAACCCTAACCCTAAACCCAACCCTAACCCCTAACCCTCACCCTAACCCTAACTAACCTAACCCTCACCCTAACCCTAACTCTAACCCTAACCCTAACTAACCCTAACCCCTAACCCTAAACACTAACCCTAACCCTAACCCTCATACTGCACCTCACTCTCTGTTTTGCACATTAATATCAGTAACAGAAACCTCCAAGCTCTTCCTCCAGTCCAAGCTGCATCTTTCCTGAATCCTCGTACTCCCCCACCTGTTCACGTGCACTGCTCTCCTCTCCTGAGCTGCCTCCCGGCAAGTAGCTCATCCCTTGGCACCTTCCTTAAGCGATGAACCATCTCCAGATATACCCAGGGGCTTCCTGCAGCTGCTGCAAGATGCTCTCACCATCACTGCTTGAGAGACTCCCTGCAATCAGCCACTCCCCTGCAAAATCTCCCTACACAAAGTGCTTGTTATAGATTAGGGAATTGGGGGAATTTTTTCTTTCCCCTGCCCCACTCCAAGGGAAAAAAACTGGAGTGAGCAGGGGAGAAGGGAGGTCATTAGCATTACAAAAGATGTAGCCAGCCTAGTTAATGGCCTATTTGGAGAGAGGGAGGCGGGAGGCGGGTTCTGTTCGGGGAGGTGAGGGGCAGACTGCGTGGCTGGCTCCCTGGGTGCAGGACAGGCATCTTTGGGGAGGGGGACCGGAGGTCCACCTTTCTTTTGGCTGTTCATCCTGGTGAGCTGGACTTTTCATTCCTGCTGGCTTCGACCTGCCTGACTGTCCCGCTCCCTGGAGCTGCTGTGCCTCAACGGAGAGTTTGCTTGCCCGCGGGAGAGGAGGGGAAGTTTTTCTGAGACACCACCACCTGAGACTGCGGTGAGTCCCCGCCACTTGGGACAGCGGTGAGTTCCCGTGGGAGTGTACTGCCTGCCTTCCTTTTCGTCCCCACGGAGGAAAGGACCCCCCCCCATCAGCTTCTCGGCTCCCCCCACGCGGTCCGGGACCTCTCTCCCCAGCCCCCTCTTCCCGCGGGGTGACTGCTGGAGCCCACAGCGCCCCCTGCCGGCCACGACCAGGTACTGCAGGTCCTGCACCTTCCAGCGGCCCAACAGCGCCCCCTGCAGGCCACAAGTAGGACTGTGCTAAAGGACAGAGGAGGGGAGTTTCAGAGAAGTTTTCATTTAGACTTGTTGTTGCTGTTGTTGTTGTTTCTTGTTACTTTTTTTTTTTGACAACATACATATATCTTTTAATAAAGGGTTGTTATTTCTTCTGTTTTTTCCACATTTTTTCCTCGAGTAAAGCCCCTTAATTTGACATTACAATTGCAGAGAGAGAGGAGTTTGGTCTACCTCATAACCCATCCTCTTCAGCAAACAGTCCAGTCTCACTCAGACTGCGACAGTGCTCCAAGATAATCACCCAGCAGGGCCTCCCCCTCATCATCCTCACTGGCCACACCTGGGGCTGCCCCGCATGGGAGGGGAGGGCGGATGGAGCCACAGGAGAGGGGGAGGGAGACGAGCTAGAAGGGGCAGAGGCAGGCACCTCCTTTTCGTGGACGACTGCAGTACTCCGTGTTCATCAGCAGGTGGCAGCAGTGGTTTAAATCCCAGCAAAGATCTCAGACTTGCTCTGTTACACTGAGACAGAAAAAAACTCTCTGAACACACAGTTTCTATTTCCTTCATATCCAGCATATTTTCTCATACTTTCACGCCCTTTCCTGTTTTTTTACATATATATATATATATAAT